ACTTCTCTAGCCACATAATTGAGGATACTGGAAAATCATTGTGGGATGCAGTGCCTCCATGCACACAGAAGGCTTGCCTCTTCAGAAGTTGTTCCACACATAAAAAAAGTAAGAGAAATGGCAACAATTAGGTGGTGGTGCTAGCATGCTCACTTCCCTTGTGTATTTGTTCTGCTTTGTTACACAACACCTGAGTAGGACTCTGATTGGGTCTAGATTTCAGACATATTTCACAGAGACCCATTAAACTGAGAGAAACTGAAGGGTGTCATCACTAGCTTAAGTCTAATTCTTTAAATGGATGTCCTCTTAATGTATCATAGAATCGTATCATACATAGAATCGTCGTAGGGTTGGAAGGGACCTTGGAGGTCTTCTAGTCCATCCCCTGCCCAAGGCCGAAGACCTCATAGCATCCCGGACCTGATACTATCCTGGACAGAACGCTGCCCAGTCTTTTCTTGAAAACCTCCAGCAATAGGGTACCCACAACATTGGGAGGCAAGCTGTTCCACTGCTTAATAGTTCTCACCATCAGGAGATTCCTCCTTATTTCCAGGTTGCATCTCCCTCTGACGAGTTTCCACCCACTGGTTCTTGTCCTACCCTCAGGCACAATAGAGAATAAATTGATGCATTCTTCCCTGTGGCAACCTTTCAGATATTGGAAGACTGCTATCATGTCTCTCCTCAGTCCTCTCTTTGTTAAGCTAAACATACCTAATTCTTAGTAATTCTTCATAGCATTTAGCCTCCAGTCCCCTTATCATCTTTGTTGCTCTTCTCTGCACCCCTTACAGAGCCTCAGCGTCTTTTTTGTATTGTAGTGACCAGAATTGGACACAACACTCCAAGTGCGGCTTCACCAGCACGGTATAGTTACTACTACTTCCCATGATCTTGATGCTATCCCCCTATTGATGCAGCCTAGGACTGTGTTGGGTTCCTTGGCAGCTGCAGCACAGTGCTGACTCATTCTTAGGTGGTAGTTGACCAGGACACCTAAATCGCTCTCACAGGTACTACTGTCTAGCCAGGTGCCATCTATTTGTACCTGTGCATCTGGTTTCTTCTGCCTAAGTGAAGGACATTACTTTCCCCGCTACTGAGCTTCATCTTATTGGAGAGGGCCCAATGTTCAAGTCTGTCTGATCCTTCTGAATGTTGAGTTTATCTTCCAGAGTATTAGCAGTTCCCCCCAGCTTTGTGTCATCAGCAAATGTGATGAGTTTTCCTTCAATCCCTTCATCCAGGTCATTTATGAAGATATGGTGGGGCCACTGTGAGATACAGGAAGCTGGACTAGTTGGGCCCTTGCCTGAGCCATCCAGCAGTGGTCTCCTTCTGTTCTTATGTTGAAGAGCACTGGGCCCAGGACAGAACCTTGAGGGACCCCACTGCACACTTCGCTCCATGTAGATGTGGTTCCGTTGAGGACCACACTTTGTGTGGGGTTGGTGAGCCAGCTGCAAATCCACCTGGTAGTTGCGCTTTTTATCCCACTTTGTTCTATCTTAACGCAGAAGTAAGTTGTGGTCTACCTTATCAAATGCCTATACACAAATACGTCTGAGTATGTATACTATATCCACTGCATTTCCTTGGTCCGCTAATTTAGTCACTTTATCAAAGAATGCAATAAGATTTGTATGGCATGACCTGTTCTTAACAAACCCATGCTGGTTTCTAGTAATCACCTTGTTATTTTTGAGGTGCTCACAAATATGCTGCTTGATTATTTTTTTCCAGGATTTTCCCAGGTATTGATGTCAAGCTGACTGGTCTGTAGTTCCTAGATCCATTCCCCCCCCTTTTAATATTGGAACCACATCAGCTTTTTTCCAGTCCATCCATTCCCCCCCCCTTTAATATTGGAACCACATCAGCTTTTTCCCAGTCCTCTGGCAGTTTGCCCGTGGACCTCTTGAAGATTTCATTCAGTGGTTCTGAGACCACATCTGCCAATTCTTTTAGTACTCTGGAGTGTAAACAATCCAGTCCTGGAGACTTGAACTTATTCAAAGCAACTAGGTGTTCTTTTACCACTTCCTTACCTATTTTGACGTGCTTCCCTCTCCTGTCTCCCACAGACGGGATTAAATCCAGAAGCAACCTACCGTTTCCAAGTCACAAGGAATGAAAATATTACTTTTGTGTGTGCTGGAACAGTGTGACATTCTGTAAGAAGGTTATGAAGAAAATAGATACACTAGAAAACAGAAGACAGTGAAGGGTTAGAAAATAAGTTATGTGATTGAAGGAATTAGATATATATGTTGGAGAAAATATCAGCTGTGGTGGAGATAATTATGAATACCTGAGGGACTATTACAGAGAAGAGGGCGGAGAAGACTTGTTTTTTTAAGTAAGTTCACAGCTAGATATAATGGGATTGAATTGTAGGAGGATGGATTTTAGTTGAACTTTATGAAAAGTGTCATCATAATAAGAGCAGTCCAGCAGCTTTACCAATTATGTAAAGGAGTGCCAGGCTCTCAGTCACTAAAGGTTTCCAAGGAGATGCTGGAGAGTAGGAGATGCTGGAGAGAAATCATTATTCATGTACTGTTGCTCTGAATTTCTTGTCATCAAGAGAGGATTTTATTAATGTTCTACAAAAAGGGTAGGCAACTTGTTGCCTTCCAGATGCCTTGCATTTCAATGCCATAAGTAGCAGATAAGCAACTGTGATATGAGGGGAGTTATAGGAAAAAACATTTGGAGAGCACCAGTTGACCTGTTCCTGGCTTACAATGACTCCTAACTTTGTGCTTGTCTGTTTTTGGACTTTATGTTAAGAGTTCACTATAGATTTTGGAGCAATTGGGTGCACACCATCATGGTGGATTTAATTTAAACCAAATTGATTTAAATCATTATTCAGACTTCATTTAATTATGTGGTCTTTACCTCTCAAAAAGTGCACCAATTTTTATAGCCTTAATATATATTTTTCTTAGTACATTTTTTCACGGTCTCCTTGCCCACATTGACTTCATCTCTAATAATCCTCTATACATTTACACTTTGAGTATCTGAAAGTATGAATGAAGGGGTTCACTTTCTACAGAAAGTTGCAGAGAGACAATAGGTAGTGTTGGCACTCTAAAGGAATAAGCATCACTCCATAAAACTGTGTAATGCAACTGTGTAATGCAATTCTAGATATTTTAGTGGAGTTTCTAAGAATTTCCAGCCCTGAATAATGATGACAGAGAGAAACAAAAAGCTCACAAAATAGGGCTCCTCAACAGGTTTGGTATTCCTCATCTTAATACATTGCTGTTAACAATTATGTATTCCTGGATATAGACAAAGCTGTTTTGATAATTCCACATTTTTCTGATAGTTATCTGCTAAACCAGAGTTTCTCAACCTGGGAATTGAAAAGTGCTTTTGTGAGGTTGTGAGTCAACTTATATCTGTTGTAGCCCTTTTAAAATAATTTCTTCCTTGACCTTACACAGCCAGCGAGATATTAAAGTTAACATGTGTATGTATGAGAAGAAAGATGAAGGCTTTACTTTTTGAGAAGAGATCATTTTACCCTGTTAAAAATGCCTTTTTATGTGAATGTCCTAGGATGTGTATGTCGCAGGTTACTTGGCTATTATAAAAGGGGGTTGTGACTTGAAAGTGGTTGGGAACCACTATGCTAAACTACGGTAAGTACTAGGGAAGACAGGAAGTTCAGTCTAATAATCTATATGAAGTATATAAATTGGAGACTCAAATCCAGTTACTGTTGGAACCTACTTATATAACTTATTGTACAGGATTAGAATTTATAAATTTTATTCAATAATAAGATATTTGAGCTATAATACATTTTTAATAAAATATTTTTAAATTTTAAATTCATGTTTTTAGCATGAAAATATTACAAATTTAAACTTGGAAGTGCTGGTTTTCATAACTTCCATTTGGAACTCTGCCATTCTAGCATATTTCTAGAAGAAAGTTATTGTGTCAAAAGGGTAAAAGGTTTCCTGTTGTGTGTACAATGCAGATGAGTTAACATTCTTAAAGTGAGACAAATTGGCTCCTTTCTGAATAGCTTGCTCTATTTTTGGTGGACAGTAGACCTTCATCCTCAATATCAACATTTTATATATTTCTAGACATCTGTAGTTTGGCCACAGTCCATGACAAAATCAGAAGAATCCAAGCATGATTTATATGGATTCAGTATGCTTACCAGGATGTTGGATAATGGCCATAGCAACCTACTGTTCTTTTTTAAAAAAACTTGAATATATATAATTTTACTAATGTGGTGACTTTTTAAAGAAGTGTAGCTTAATTATACCTTCTGCATTTTAGTTCAGACAAAAGATATATATAGACATCGTGATTTTTTGAGGGGTGGGATGAATTGGTAAGACAAATGAGTAAAAGTAACAAAATTGATGTCACAAATAAAGGCATTTGAGAAATGAAATTGGATTTCACATTTTATAGGTGCTTTATGAAAATTTTTCATATCAGTTACCTCAGATATTTTTTATTCTACCCTGGTATGGTAGAAATTATGTTTGTGTTTTGAATTTTGGTTACTGTACTCAGGTCTCCAAGGATGAGTTGCATTATAAATTCTTTCTGTTTCAGCTCCCAATAAGGAATCTAAAGAACATCAGGCTGTTTAGTGACGTTTATGCACAGTCCAGTTCCTGCCAAGCATTAAAATGGTCCACTTCCCCCATCCTTTAATGACTGTCTTAATCTGTCAGTTAACTAAGAAAATGCTAACTAGAGTTATGGTGTCTGCAATTGATTTCAGATAATAATGGGCTATGGAAAGATGATCTTCTCTAATAACAGACTAGAAACCCTGACAGGAGAAATCTCAAATCCTACTCTATCACGTCTTCTAGGCTTCCAGCTGATGCTCCTCCTCTTGCTGTTTACATTATAAGGAGTGGGGTGGGGAGCTTGTAGTGGCTGCATATACACAGCACCTGAAAAGCACAAGTGTCTAACAGTATTCTTTTGTATTTTAGGATTCTCGTGAAAAATGGTGGATCGCTTGGCAAACAGTGAAGCAAATACAAGACGAATAAGCATCGTGGAAAACTGTTTTGGAGCTGCTGGTCAACCTTTGACAATTCCTGGCCGAGTCCTTATTGGTGAAGGAGTGCTAACAAAGCTGTGTAGGAAGAAGCCCAAAGCACGGCAGTTCTTCTTATTCAATGATATTCTTGTATATGGTAACATTGTCATTCAGAAGAAGAAATACAACAAACAGCACATCATTCCACTGGAAAATGTAACTATTGAGTCCATCCAGGATGAAGGGGATCTCCGGAATGGATGGCTCATCAAAACCCCAACTAAATCGTTTGCAGTGTATGCCGCTACTGCCACAGAAAAATCTGAATGGATGAACCACATAAATAAATGTGTCTCTGATTTGCTGTCTAAAAGTGGGAAAACTCCTAGCAATGAACATGCAGCTGTATGGGTACCTGATTCTGAAGCTACTGTATGCATGCGCTGCCAGAAAGCAAAATTTACTCCTGTCAATCGTCGACATCACTGTCGGAAATGTGGGTTTGTTGTATGTGGGCCTTGTTCAGAAAAGAGGTTTCTTATTCCAAGCCAGTCTTCCAAGCCTGTGCGGATCTGTGACTTCTGCTATGACCTCCTTTCCACAGGAGAGATGAATGCATGCCAGCCCACAAGGTCAGACTCTTACAGCCAGTCACTGAAGCCTCCTTTAAATGATATATCGGATGATGATGATGATGACGATAGCAGTGACTAGACAATGAAAGAGAATGTTTTGATATTAAAAGTTGGCATTTGCATCTGAGTTGCTGTATGAGGAAACCTCTACTTGCAGGCTTTTCTGAAAGGTCTACTCTAGCCATATAAAACTTGCCTGAAAAACCTTCAGCTCAAATGTGCCTCAGTATCAGACTCTTTTACATCTAGCATTTTTTCCCTGCAGGGACAGACTGTTGCAAGTATATTATTTCTCAGCTTCATATACTTGATTTCCTCTAAAGCAGTCAATTAATCATCCTTCTTGTCTCCTTCCCATTGAAAGATTAGAAAGTCAAGCACAATTTTGTTCTTTTCTTTTTCTGCAACAAGCAATCCTGCATTGTGTCTGACAATGTTATCTTATGGCTTCCTTTTAATTTTGGGATGGAAGAATTAAGCCTGCATGAATCTGTGATATTTTGGTTGGCAAATTGATAGGGCATCCAGCTAGACTTTGAAACTGACCCCTTGTTACATAAGTGTGAACCGTAATTTCATTAACTTTTAAAACTTTATGCAAGATGTCATATACCAAGCAGTGCCTTGTGATGATTCAATTGTTACAGGAAGAAATTAATTCATTTTTACCCTGACATACAAAAAGTTAAGAAATGTGGTGCTATTGAAAATAGTTGGTGTTGTATAATTAGGATCTTAGTAATGAGGGCTGTTGGGCATACTGCTACTCTGTGTCACTAGCTCTGCAAAATCAGTTTCCACTAAGATGCTGCATGAGGATAGATGCAGCACTATTGTGGAGACCAATTATTCTGAATTCCCTATAAGTGTGGTGTTCCCACCCCATGAACAAAAGTGATGGGCTTGGTGACTTCTAAGAAATTAGATCTTCAGATAGAGTTAGTATCTTGCTACTTTTAAAGCTCTGTGAGATTATTAAATGTTTATAGCTATCAGGTATTAGTTGAGAATTATATTGTCTCAGACCATGCTTTTGCTGTTTTTTTATTTTATATTTATGAAATTCACATATGTCACTAACCTTTAGCAACTTTAGGAATTGAATTTTTTAAAAATAATCAGAATACATTTCAAAGGCACAACAATATGGAAAAATATCCCAACCGTCCAGCTGAAAAAAAAAACCCTTTGCAAAACTGTCCATCCTTTGTACACAGCTGACCTCAAGCTAGAAATGAACTACAGATGACTTCATTTTACTTATATAAATCAAAGACCAGGATACATAATGAAAAAGGTGTTTCCAAAAAGTATTTACTTTTAGCAGCATTTTTTTCTATCATGGTGTCAGTTTTAGAGAAATATCAGATTTAGGTCTGTGAACTTTCATAAAGCCCCAATAGAAATCTCTATTTTTATATAACTTATGTTTAATCAGTTTATGTAGAAGTCCCCTGAGAGGACTGTACAGAAAATAGCGCCTGGAAGATTATAAAAATTATTGAATATTATCTGTACAAAAAGTTGGCATTATCTACACATCTGTTTGTTAACTTACACATTCTCCATTGTTTGCCTCATCTGGCAGTAATTTGGATATATTTATTGAATAAATAATTGGTTCTGTATCTAGCACTAGTCTCCCAGTCTGTAATCTAGCTGCTGTAGCCACAGATGTCACTCTTGAGGGAGGGAAAAGGGGGTGGGGGAGAATGATCGTTTTTTTAAAAAAGAGTATTCTGAGCAGCCTCCAGACACTTTAGAGCTTGCTTGAGAATGACCTGGATATTATGCGGTAGCAGTACCCAGTAGATCATGCCTCCTGACAGCTATAGTTTTCCAGCTGATACCAAATACCTGAATGGTGCTAATAGGAAAAGCCCTGCATTAATTCAGGTAAGCAGTCCAGAGAGGTACACATTCACCCATATTTTCAAGCTAACTGCCCCCATAGATTCTCCTGATGTTCCTTGAATTTACAAGTTTAGAAACCCCCCTTTAGGTTATAATTAGAATGTTTTGACTGGGTTAACATTTGTACACTATGCTAAAAGATACATAATGAATGAATTTCGATGTAATATTAAACAATAGTTTACTATTACAAGAATGAGCCTTCCTGTGCAAACCCTTTCCTCTCTCCTCAGGCACAACTGCAAGGAGATTGCAAGGTTCTTTTTTTTAGATTAACAGAAGATTCCTATGTTGTCTTGACTCTAAACTGTGATTAATCTTAACCATGATTAGTTGAAATGAGCAACTCTTAAAAACTGGTCCTAGTTTTCTTTGTTCCAACAAAACAGAATTGAGATTAACCACAGTATGTATAAGTTGATATGACATGAGAAACAGTGATTAATCTAAAGTCAAGTGAAAGCTTCAAGCCCTGTTATGGTTGCATACAAACTGAAGCCATCTCTGAATTTCATTGTAATGCTATACCATGACTTGGTGTTTTATGTGCCTGAGGCATTCAACAAATATGAAAGGTCGGCCAAATTCTGTTGGTGTCTGCATAACTTGCCATGGCTAATTATGCCTATTTAATGAGGTGCTTAGTCACATGCCCAATTTTGCAACTGAGATGTGCCCTGGCACCTCACTAATTAGCTGCAACTAACTTTAGCAAATTACACATACTTTTCACCAACACCCATAGGATTCTGGCCACTATGTTAAAACACTAAAACAAACAAGCAGTTGAGCATTAATGTGTAGTTGATGCCTAGAAATGATAGTTTAAGCAGGTTCCAAGGACACAATCCTGTGCATGCTTTTCTTGGGATGAAATCCCATTTAAATCATTGGAAATTTCTAATCAAGCAAGCATTGGCCATAAGTATAATCCATTTCTTCTGCTGAATGGATCATTTGAATATCATCCCTTATTCATAGCACAGATACAGACTCTAAGGTAGATCTGGATACAGTTTAGCTTTCCTATTCTTATCCTAAGATTTGTAAAAAAAATCATATTTTCGATAATGAATGTCAAACCTGTATTTGCCCAATTATTGTTGTATGTTGCACAAATGTTGTAGCACTTTCTACCAGCAAGAACATTTTAACTTTCATTTGGCAACATGCCCTGCCTACCAATCCCCTAACAACCTATCACTATCTGTGAATGAAATTCACACTATGCTGCAATTAATTCCTGAAGCTGTTACCAAATTGACATCATAGGACAAAATAATCCTAGGAAGAGGAGTGTGAAAATAGGTGACCACTTATGTGGTTCTGTGCAGAATTTTATTGTGTAAAGTAAAATGTTGTCTGTTATGTTAGAATTTTACAAGGGCTTAATAAATGGTTTTGTAACTTTGTCAGACTGAGCTGCTTTCCTTTTATACATCTGAGAACACTTTGAAGTAAGCAAGAATTTGTTCCTTACCTTTACAATACAGTGGACCCTCGACTTACAGACGGCTCGACTTACAGACTTGTCGAGTTACAGACTTCTCTGGCTGCAAAATTTAGATTTGACTTGCAGCCAGCGAATCGACTTACAGACCAGAAAAAAACCAAAATGGAATAAAAATAGAATAAAAACCACTGGTTATGGGATTAATCGGTTTTCAGTGCATTGTAGGTCAATGGAGATTCGACTTACAGACTTTTCGACTTGCAGCCACCATTCCAATACGGATTAATTCCTTAAGTAGAGGGTCCACTGTATTTGAAGAGAGAGAAAGGTTGGTACTGCTGTGTGAAATATGCCAGATTTGTTGTGTTTTAAGAATGTATCTGTAAAGCAAATCAATGTCTGAATAGTTCTGATTGAGATTGGCACAATGGTTGAAATTCTGTTGCATTGTTATGCAAATAGCATAACCTTTAGACACAATTTGCCATAAGATGAGAAATCTCTGTAGGTATTATCTGTTGTACACTGAGTCATGTTGCTCACTATGCAACAGATAATGCTTACAGAGATTTCTTAACTTATTGCAGTTTACATCTAAAAGTTACTGCTGTTTATGTAACTGTGCAACAGGATTTCAACCGTTGTTTCAGAATTATTTTCAAAACTGCATGATACTCATAATCTTTTCCCAAAGTACCTTGGCTTTACTTTAAAAACAATTATTATCAGTTGCTGTGTAAGTAGTGCAAATAACCACAAGATGATTTGGATCATCATTCACACAATGATACATATTCTGGTGGGATTTGAAGTGAATAACTGAATAACTGAAATGAACTAGGAAAAGCATCTAGTGTAAGCAGAAAATTTACTGAAAATAGCATCTCACTAAGATGTGACAGTGAAATAAGAGTAATTGAGATGGTCCTGGAAGTTTACAAACAAAAACCAGTATTGCAATATCTCAACTTTTTTGCTTGCATTCAGAATATGCAGTGCAATGTAATTAGCATTTTTCAATAATATTGGGACAATATGATAGATTGAGAAAGGAGCAGAAAAAAGCAGGAATGAAATACTTTTAATACTGTGTAATACTGAAATATTATATACTAAGGCAGTGGTCCCCAACCGTTTTTGAGCTGCGGACCGGTTTAGCATGTGGGTGGGGATGCGGGGGAGCAGGGTCCTTGGGTGGGCCATGTGTGCACGTGTGGGTGGCTACGGTGTCTGTGCATGTATGTGGGGGTGTACATGTATGCATGGGAGGCGGGAGATCTGTCTCCGCAGTCCAGTCATGACAAGGCTATGGCCCAGTACCAGGCCGTGGACCTTTAGTTGATTTACCAAAGTAGCCTTGAATAAGGCTGTGACCTTGACAATAGTTTGCAAAAGCTCAGTCTTTACTGAGATCTTTTCTGTGATCTTGCCTTTCCTATGGCAGGGATGTATTCTTAAATAATTGGAAAGAAGCTATTTCATATATGGCAAGGGAATTATGGGCAAAGAGAAAGAAGTCAGTTTGTTTTTAATTGGTATGTTACCAAGCGAATAGATTTTTAACAACACACAATTAAATGAATTGAAACTTAATCCACATTCCATGAAATAGCACTCTTGAAATAAATTTGCACTACCACAAATACAACAGCTCAAGCATGTTGGCAGGAGGTTTCTTCGATGAGAATGCTGCTGTTTAAAACAAGACGGCCATAGACAAGTTCTTGGTTCTTTAACAGTGTTACCTCTAAGTCTGCACCTGTCTTAAATGTATATAACTTGATGTTTTTTATCAAAGTGCTATATGTCCTGGTCTGTGGGTATTAAATGGCTGAGCCTGTGACAGAGTTGAAACAAAAGATGTGTGCTTCTACTACTGCCTTCTTAAAGATCAGCATTATGTGACTGTGCTACATATTTTTTCAGGTGTAACAGTCTGCACCAGTCATATTTCAGTTAGTAATATACTTAGTGATAGCTGAATCTTCAGAAACATGCGGGGCGGGGCGGGGCCAGAAGGAGGAAGAGTGAGCGAGTGAGTGTCGGAAGCCAGAGGAAGAGAGCGCCTCCTTTGCTGGGGATTGTGCCAGGCCCCCGAAGCCGAGCCTCCCTCCCCGCCAGCCTGCGATCACCTTGCCCTTTCCCGGCAGTGGCTAAATTAAGCTAGAGGTTTGCAGTCCATGAAGCAATTTTGACTATGGGAGCTGTTTCAGAACAGTTCACATGCAGAATTAGTTAAGATAGTCACTTTATTAGACAGTTTCAACTTCAAATGCAGTTAGCCATGTGGCACAGAGGCAAGCATTCAAAATTGGAGTCTTCACGGCAGCAGCTACACTGTTTCCTCTCTTCCCCACCCCGCTCTCCTCTCCCTTTCACCTTCTCCCCCGCCCACCTTTGCTGCCCTACTGCTGCCGCGGCCGCCCAGGTGTGTGGATGCCCCCTCTTCTCCCCGATTCCACCCCTTTGTACCTCTTTGGAGCTCCGGACCTCGCTGGCCTGACTCTGGGGCTCTGAATCTTGGGGGTCCTCCTCCCCCCGCTCCTGTGGGAGGTCTGTCTTCGCAGCAGTGGCAGGGCTGGTCAACAGCCGGGAGTCTGAGCATGGCTGGGGGGCTCCCTCTGGCTGCTCGCCTCCCAGTGGACTTCAAGAAGGCCGGGGTCAGCGCTTCTTGCCGCCCTCAGCAGGCTGGTGCCACTGCTGGTGCCTTCAGGTCCGAAACCGGTAGCAGCGGCTGCATTTGAACTTCCTGTGGAGGGCTGGGAGGAGCTCTGACCCTGCCTCGTTGGAGCCCGTCAGGAGGCGAGTGGCCAGAGGGAGCCCCCCAGCCATGCTCAGAATCCCAGGCTTCTGCCGCCACCAGTGGCACACACTCCCTTACCCCTTCAAGCATGTGCCTGTGCATGGGGGGTGGGTGCGCGGGTGGGCAGATGCTGCTGCACATGCATGAAGCAGTGGGGTAATGCACGGGCGTCTATGGCACACACTCCCCCCAACCACTTCATGTGTGTGTCGGCGAGCACGAGGAGCCGCCCCACCTCCCTCAAAGGCTCCACCGGTCCACATTACAAAAAAGGTTGAGGACTGCTGGATTATGCAACTTATAATTGCAAAAGCAATTCAGAGAGAAAGCAGAAAGCATTTCCTATATATAATGAATAATTATTTTGAAAATAGCTATCGTAAAAGCAGTTCTACTCCTATTTGTAATAGCCTCCGTCTGCTAAATTGCCTAAAGGGGATGCTTCTTGTAGGAGTCAAAATGTACAAAAGTATTCTATTTGGCTTCTCAGTAAGCAACAAAGAACTTAACGTTTTTGTATAAATAAATCCATACAGTTGCAGAAAGTGAAATTTTACTTGAGTAAACTTTCATTTTGTTGTGGAAAACTAACATCCCTTTGAAGAAAATTAATGGGTATAAAATGAGAGGGAAGACTTGTGGTGCAAAATATAGCTTTTAAAAATTAGGTCACAGTAAATTGGTCAAAATGCCCACTTCTTTGAAAAACCAAGTGCCTAGAATCTTGGATAAAATACAACTGGAGAGTAGTCTATTCATAAAGGAATAGTAGGACAATTTGGTGATTCTTACTCTGACATTTGGTTTTAAACATAGGTCTCAGTGCTTCCAGCCCCCTCTCACAGTCAGTTTTAAGAATGTAATGAAATATGGCTTTAAGGTCAGCCTTTTGATTTGTTTACTATCTTCTCTGATGAAGGCTGCTAAGGGATATGCATGATATTTTTAAAACTCTTTTTAAAGAACATAAAAATATTCAACTGCTGAGGATTGTAGCCTTTTTTTAAAAGTCTGCCTTCAATTTGTGAATCAGATAGGAGTGTCTGAGGATCTGTTGAAGTAAAAGACAATGGAGGAAATCAGAGGACAGATAAATTTCATTAGGATTAGGTCTGTCCTGGTGCAGGCAGAGGTTACATGGTACACTGCACTTGCAAACTTCAGTTCAGTCTGCCTAACAGGAAAGATTAAGTTAACCCTCTAGGGAAAAATTACCCGCTGTAATGGGAACACTCACATCACCCCTGTGTAACCTAAGGGAAGGAGTTTATGATATGCTCATGAATTTTTCACTCCTACCCTCAGTCTGAACCAATACCATTATGCTTTTACATTTGCATTGTTCATGACCCCATAGGCAATGCATCTGGAGGATACCAGGCTGGGGAATGCTTGTGTAGCTGCAGTTCTTTGACCAGGACATTGTGACCAGAACATAACTCTCACCCTTGTCTGCATAAGTGGAAGATACTCATAAGTATTCTCACAGAAAATCTTTCAATAAGAAAGCAGTTTTTAAAATGATAAATACACTTATCCCAAAAGGTTTATGTTAAAGCAATGATTCTAATTAGCAATGTATGGAAGTGAGAGCGGGACCATAAAGAAGGCTGACCACTGAAGAATTGATGCTTTTGAATTGTGGTGCTGGAGGCGACTCTTGAGAGTCCCCTGGACTGCAAAGAGAACAAACCTATCCATTTTGAAAGAAATCAACCCTGAGTTCTCACTGGATGGACAGATCCTGAAGCTGAGGTTCCAATATTTTGGCCATCTCATGAGAAGAGAAGACTCCCTGGAAAAGACCCTGATGTTGGGAAAGTGTGAAGGCAAGAGGAGAAGGGGATAACAGAGGACAAGATGGTTGGACAGTGTCATCGAAACTACCAACATGAATTTGACCCAACTTCGGGAGGCAGTGGAAGACAGGAGGGCTTGATGATGCTCTGGTTCATGGGGTCACAAATAGTTGGACACGACTAAACAACAAAAATGATTCTAATGGCTGAGTAGGAAAGTAATAATTCCCAGGTTGCATATGAAATTCAGTATATGGTGTTTTTTTTCTATATGAACATTTAACAATTCATGAAAGCTTTCACGGCTGGGATCTAATGGCTGTTGTGGGTTTTTCGGGCTCTTTGGCAGTGTTCTGAAAG